AAAAAAAAAAAAAAAAAAAAAAGAAAAAAGAAAAAAGAAAAGAGAAAAAGGAAACGAATAAGAAAGAAACGAAAAGAGGGTTGGCCTGGTTGTGTTTTCGTGGAAAGGTAAAAACGTGACGTGGCGTCGTTTCCACGGGCATTCTCGACATTCCAATTGTGTCTGAACGAAGATCTCGTCGAAGGAAAAGTCATCGTTTCAACACGCGAGCCTCGATAATCCTTCTTAGAAGACAGACCCGAAGCATTTAACTATATAAAAATATGTTTGACTGTCGAGAGAGCAACGACACGTTCTCACACGCCCTCGAATCGGGCAGGGGTGTTTAATCTGTGATTTAATCATTAAATAATCTACAGACAGATCAAAGAGAGAGAGAGAGAGCTATTAGCGTAAAATAAATTTTTCATCTCTGTTGATCGCCAGACTACGGATCTTTTTGCAAATTCATATCTTTTACGAATTCACGAGTTCGGAGGGTAACTAGGTTAAAACCTAAATTTGTTTCGCTCGTTAAATCTCTGTGTGGTCGTTTACGTTCTCTCTTTTCACAGCCGTTCCACGCTGTCGAACACGAGAATTTGTTAAATGCTGCAATGCATAATTCGCTTTAGCTGAAAAACCTGTAGTCTAATCGACGATCAATCGAGCATTTAAAGATTAAACGCCGCTCGCGGAACGTGTGTCGTTCCTCTTCGATTTCAGGAATTTTAATTTTTCCACGATTCCGAATCGAACAGCGATAAGTTTTCCTTCGACCATTCTCGGGAACTTGCTGCCTTTCATCTCTCTCCTTCCTTTCACTCCATCACGCTCTCTCACTTTCTCTCAGACAGGTTTTCGTATCGTCAGGGACACGGAACTAACATTATCCTTATTTACGAATGGACCTTAATAAATCTTATTACACTAGTGTATAATTCTGTGAATGTATATTGAATGGCCAATGATACACACGTCGGTGGAGCTACATTTCGTGCTTTCCTTCTGCCTTTCTCTCTTTCTTTCTTTTTTTTTTTTTTCTTTTGTTCTTCTTAAACACGCGTTTTTCCATTTTCTCTTTGTGTTCGTTTCGTTCACACTGTGCCAGGGAAAGAATCCTTGTTTCCCCTGTTTCTCGATGGATCAGTAAGTATGAGTTTACGGTGTAAAACACTAATCTTCTATATTTATAGCAACAACTGTACAAGTGCCGGGCCACATCGATATCCTCCATAAACGTGTCGCTTACATTTTTTTACTTTGACAAAACGTAGTGGAGAGAACGCTGCTCAGATTGTTCCTTTTCATTTCCCCTATTCTCTTACGCGGTTCTTCCTCATTCATTGCTCATTATAGACGTCTAAAGTCAAAACATCCCACGTCGGATCGAACTTCCATCCTGAACATACTCTCTTGACCCTTTTGAAAAACTCTCGAACAGCTGCCTCCTCGTGAAAAACTTGATTCGCGACGCTCGGTTTTGCCTTTAGACGTCTTTGCGTGCGATTTATCGACATAAATGCTACCCATTCACTGATTAATCAATGAGGAATTGTAGGACGGTACGTAGATATCGGTTATCAC